GTCTGGTCTAGCATGTCCCATGCTCTGCGCAAGCAAAGTAACTGAGTCCTTGTGTGCACAATCAGTTCTGAGGATCATGGAACTGAAGATGGCCAGATCACAGTGAGTCTCCTTGCCGGACACGTGACTGTTTAGTCTTCTATCACTATCCCAGTTCTTCAGTTTCCTTTATGTTGGAGTGATATTAAACTATCCCCAACCCATCAAGTCACTGGGGAGAATAAGAAAGACAAGGGAGATATGCTCATGCCCCTGCCAGCGCCTGGTGAGCTCCACATCTCCTACGCTGATGTTTTTGTTTTGTTTTGTTTTTGTTTGTTTGTTTTTTGTTTTGTTTTGTTTTTCGAGACAGGGTTTCTCTGTGGCTTTGGAGCCTGTCCTGGAACAAGCTCTGTAGACCAGGCTGGTCTCGAACTCACAGAGATCCGCCTGCCTCTGCCTCCCGAGTGCTGGGATTAAAGGCGTGCACCACCATCACCCGGCCACTTCGCTGCTGTTTTTACTCTCAGCTGTTCTATTATTCCCTGATTTCCTTTCAGGAAGTACCCATACTCACTTGTTTTATCGTTTTTGGTTTCATTTCTATGGCCGTCCTCTCGTTTTCCAGAATATAAAAGCCCAAATAGTAGTTGACTTCAGTTTAAGACCTTGACAGTCAGTCACACTTAAATGCTTAAGGAAAATAAAGGTGTAGTTAAAGCTCTCAGGAAAATATGGGGACTGTCACACAGCACAGGGAAGTTAGTGACAGGGTCAATACAGGTGCATGTAACCTTTCTCTTGCATTGTTTGCACATCTTTGTGAGCTCAGAAAGAAAACTTTAATGTTGAGAGGACATGTAAAGATTCAAAATGAGGCGATAGAGTTTGTAATGTATATTTGTAATTAGAAAACCTGCTTGGTTCTCTTCTTGGGCTTAATAGCTTCTCAGAGTTTGTGAATATGCTACATGAGCATTTAATATTCCTTTGATATGTGAATTCATGTGCAGCTTTGTATTACATAATTAAAATGGCTTTGATGTGAAATTCTTGGATTTATCTTAGCAAATTAAGTATTGAGCAAATGATCTCTGGGTTTATTCAGATGGCAAATAGGTCAATAAAATCGGGGCTGATGTTGGATTATGAGCCAGCACAAGGACAATATACTAACTTCATTTTAATCTAATTACACCATGTGTCATCTGAAAGAGAGGAGACCAGAGTGATCAGTGTCCTGAGTGTTACCCATTCCACTCAGGATTTCCACAGAAATACCATTTAAAACATGTCAAGAGTGAATAGCATATAACCAAACCTGATGAAAGACTCAGAAAGCAGGACAAGAGCATTAAGAAAAATACCATGCCAGAAGAGGATGGAAATCTCTTCAAAAAGGAACCATACTTAGTAGTAGAGAGAAAATATAAATCCATTTGCTTAAATAATGGAGAAAATGTAATTCAATTTTTTAAAGAAATGGGACACCTTCTGTTTCTTATGTTTAACACTATTCAAGGTCAGCAGTTCTGTGTGCTGTGTGGGTCAACTTCCTCTTTGCCAAACATGCACAAATGCTCTTTTAGTAATTTAATTATATATTATTATATATAATTATATAATATATAATAACATATAATGTAAATAATATATATAGTTAATTTAATATATAATTACCTATTTTTTAAAGAGACAGAAATCAATATGGTAGAGGTTACTACATGTTTAATTACAAGGAATCCACTTTAGTTCAGTGTATGTTTATAAAGCTATCTATTTTGTTAGCACCTGGAATGGCACAGCAGAACTTTTAGATGTGCAAAGCCCAGGAGACATGTGTGACACTATTGTCTCCTTGAGCATTAGGTGACTATTAGAAGGACCATTGGAAAGGTGGAAACACCTTAGACATAAGGAGTGTGATGTTATATGCATGTGCTGGTAACTTTTTGTCAATGGGGGAAAGGGGACCTCAAATGAATTGCCTCCACCAGACTGATCTGTACAGACACCTGTGGGGCATTTTCTTGATTAATGATTGATGTGGGAGGGCCCGCTCACTATGGGTACTGCCACTCCTGGGGAGGTAGTCCTGGGTTGTATCTGAGAGCAAACTGAGAGAGCCAATGAGAGCAAACCAAAAAGTTATACCCTCTTCCCATGGCCTCTGCTCAAGCTCTCACCTTGAAGTACCTGCCTTGAGTTCTTGCCGTGGTTTCTCACCACAGTGGAGTATAACCTGAAAGTCAAATAAAGTTTTTGTTCCCAAGTTATTTTTGGTCATGTTATGTATCATGGCAAAAGAAAGTCACTAGACACAGTCCAGCTGGCCTTGGTGAGCTCCCAATAGATCAGCCCCACTGTTTCCGTGGGTGGGTGCACCCCTCGTGGTCCTGACATCCTTGCTCGTGTTCTCCCTCTATCTGCTCCTCATTGGGACCAAAACCGGACTCTCTGATCGTGGCGAACAATGAGGACTGATGAAAAGCCAAGGTCAATGGCACGGAGTTTTGATCCTACTTCGTGTTCCGGCTTGGTGGGAGCCTAGCCAGTTTGGATGTTCACCTTCCTAGACATGGACGGAGGGGGGAGTACCTTGGACCTTCCACAGGGCAGGGAACCCTGACTGCTCTTTGGATTGGAGAGGGAGGGGGAGAGGAGTGGGGGGAGGGGGAGGGAAATGGGAGGATGGGAGGAGGCGGAAACTTTTTGTTTTCCTTTTCTCAATAAAATAAAAAAAAGAAAGTCACTAGAATAAAGTGTGTTTGCTCTATTTTTCATAGAAAGAGAGAGACAAAGAAAGAGAGATAGCTGGAAGGAGAATGAGGGTGAGAGAGTAGGGAAGGAAAAGAGGGAGAGAGAGAAGAGGCCTGGGGGAAAGAAAGAGAGAGGTGAGAGAACGGATTCTTCTTTAGATCTTATTCTAATAAAATAATGGATTTACAAAAGATTTATAGTGTTTTACATAATACCATAAAATTAATTTCCCATCCATATGCTGATATTTAAATATAAATACATACAATATATATAGTTTAAGTTTTAATTAAAATAAAGTTTAAAATACTCTTGTTGATCAAATACTGAATTACATTATCTCTACAGTTTCTAAATATCTCTTCTTGTTCAAGATGTTGGCTCCTCAGTGAAAACATAGCTGGTACAAACAATGACTTGAGTATGATCTGCTGATCTGTATCCAGAATACTGAGTGTGTGAAGATGGATGCTAAAAAAGAAGTCCCACACTAGCTCAGAATTGAGTAAAAGAAAAGGTTATTTATTTAGACTCACAGATCACAATCCTCTGCTCAAACAGGGAACTGCAACCAAATCCAGCAGCAAGGAAAGAGGCTAGACATGCACTTTACATTGGCATATAAAGTATAAGAGACCATGGCCAGGTGGGTGGGTAACTTAAAGGCTACTGGCTGTAGAAATTCCTACAGCAGATACACAATTCAACAGACTCATTGAGCAGTGCTTGGAAATATTATCTTATTTCTGAGACTAAAATGGAAACACAAAATGAAGTACTATATCATCACATTATTACAAATGCCCGAAATACACACAGAAAATCTCATTTGTCCCAAAATGACCTTTAAGCCTGACTAAAATTAATCAAATCAACACTACCCTGAATGCTATGAAGTTTGTTTCTGTCTACAAATGTGCTATGCTATTTAGAAAGTTATATCTTGAGAGATTAACACTTATTAATATGCTCAATGCAAACTTCAGAATCCTTTTACATGAGAAATTAGTCCAAAGAAATAATGTGATTTCTTGAAATTTTTATGATAAAAAGTGAAACTTTTACCAGCATTAGATAATGAATTATTCATATTCTTATGACACAAAAAACTAGAGAAAGACTATTCTGATCTAAAAGAATAACTCCAAAGCATTTAAGATGCCCTGAGTTAGTCTACGTCACTCTCTCCCTACCTCTCCCCTTCTTCTTGGTTTTTCTCCTTCCCTCTCTCTCTCTCTCACTCCTCCATCTCCTCCTCCTCCTCCTCCTCCTCCTCCTCCTCCTCCTCCTCCTCCTCCTCCTCCTCCTCCTCCTCCTCCTCCTCCTCTTCTTCTCTCCTAATCCCTCTTTCCTTACCCTCTCCTAGACTTCCCATTTAAATCATCAAGTAGCATCTGTGGATGACAAATAAATTTTCACATTTAATTTCATATTTTATCAAGACTTTCAAGTTTGAAAAGTGAAACAGAACATAGCAATTTATGACTTGCTTTTGTTAAAGGAAACATAATTTAATAAAAAGATCTTTTATTTGCAAGAATTTTCTTTTAAAATGTACAAATTATCTCAAATCACATTTTTAAAAACACATTTTCATGTTATTTTCTAATGAGAATAGAAACTTGATAGAACACAGAGTGTTGTGTTAAATACATTGCAATGTCATGGGTTCATTTTTGTAAAACCACTACTGACTAATGTAGACAAAAGCTTCTGTCCCTCCCAGTCCCCCAGTCATTCAGTCCCAAAGAAACACACAGAGGTTTACATTAATTATCAATGGTTTGACCTATTAGCTCAGGCTTATTATTAATTAGCTCATAGAGATTAATTAACCCTTAATTCTTGTCTATGTTTATCCACATGACTTGGTACCTTTTCTCAGTGAGGCATTCTCTTCCTGCTTCCTCTGTGTCTGACTGGTGACTGACTCTCTGCCTTTCCTCTTCCCAGAATTCTCTTTGTCTGGTCCTCCCCCACCTATACATCTTGCCTAGCTACTGGCCAATCAGCATTTAATTAAACCAATGCCAGTGACAAATCTTTACAGTGTATAAGAGCATAATCACATAGCAGACTAAGCCAAATATTTCTTTATCACTTGGGACATAATGAAAAGAACTGTTGATATTTCCCTCAGAGGCTCAGTGTTTTAGGTAATGAATGCACTACAGTGGTTCAGCTGGGTGGAGGCTGACACTGAAGTACACAGGAAGGACGCGTGTTAGATAATGAATACGCATGCTGTGGTTGAGCTGCACGGCACTGACCCGAGTTCCAGGAGAAGTACCCAGAAGCAGTTCTGAATAAAGTAATACAGCTGGAATGAGCTCCTTTAAAAGGCAGAGAGTCTGAGCTGGGATTTTTTTTCAGCTTATTTTGTAGTCATGGGATGCTTATGAGGAAGATTGCTCTAAGAAAACAGAACAAGACTGTGGAACATAAGAGAACTTGAAGAATCCTGAGAAATAAGACACAGTGATGTGACTCAGATCCAGTCGAGAATGTCTCTTAGATAACAAAGCTTCCAGTGTGAGCTTTTTTCTTCTTGGAAGGACACTGCCAGGCACTTAAAGACCTTGAGAAACAGAGTGACATCTTTCAGTATGGATTTCAAAATACAGTGTTGCAGAGTACTGAGAAATTTTTTGGATGAAGACAACACTGAATGAGGTAACATGTATTGGAAGGCTTTTCCAACAGTTAACAAAAGTACACCACAAGGACAATGGAGAAAAGAAAGATCCAGAGACAAGGAATCCCAAGGCTGTTTGGAAAGTTGATATGGTTTCCTTGAGAGAAGGGTGCATTTGGAGACCTGGCCAAGATGTTCAGTTGGAGGAAGGCAGACAAGTATGAACTTGCTGCTGGGATCAAGCTGTGGGTGATAGCAGAAATGCTGGACGTGCTGGACACCACAGAAGAGCGGGAGCAGGCGGGTCCTGCATGAAGGGGAAAGGGTTCAAGCCCCACTGGCAACAATTAGTGTTTCTCAAACCTTATGACCATCTCAGTCCTTCTCAAAGGAGGACACGCGTTTGGAGATGTCACAGTGGAAGTCTTGTGTTAGTTCCCCTCCTGATCTTGCAGGTGTGGGGCCTAACTTTTAGCACCATCACAATGCAGACAATACAAGCGCCTTAAGTGTATTCTCCAAGTCACGGTCACTCATGACTTCAACAGGAGCACTAATCTCTTGAAATTAGTGGGAAGAATTTTCTAACTATTTTAGTCAAGTTAACACATTCTTATAAATTTTTGGCGAGTTCTTATATATATGACTATTTTGTGAGAAAGTAAAGGAAGAACAATTGAATGGGAAAATAGTAAATGGTTTAATTTTTGCTAAAACCATTTAGTATATTGTAACTTTAGTAAAATGTAACTTAAATAATGTTAGTGCCTTAACAAAATTATGAATTCAATAGTTTTAGGCACTTTTATTAAAAAAGATTAAAGTAAAATTCTAATGGTGAGCTACATCCATTCTCTGATATTTGAACTCTTCGAAAAAATTAAAATCTCATTTATTTCACTGTGATAACCTTTCAATAAAATGCCACTGGTAACTTTGCAGGCACTGAATATAGTTTAATTGTCTTTGTCATGACTTTATAATAATAACGGAACTAATTCCAATAACAATCTGTGGTATCTTAAGAGACACTTGAATATGTAACACTTTTTGTGAATAGCTTTTTATATTAGCAGTAACATAAAGCATTGATGAATACTTTATTAAAAATGTCACTATGATACAATTACTACAGAAACAATAACTGAGAAAAATAAAGAAAATATATAAAAATTGTGTTAAAGAAAGCTAGCTTATTTATTTTCGTAGTATAAATGATGGTAGATATCAAGTTGTTATGATACTTAGTTTCTATGAATAAGAAATATGGTTAGCCCATTTAAAATTAAAATTATAATTTATATTTGTCTAATAATATCTAATAATTTAATATTAGAAATTAAATCATTATGCAGAGGAGCTAGCACAGTCTCATGTAGGCTCTCTGATTGCCACATCAGACTCAGAGAGCCCCTGTGAGCCCTGCTTAGCTGACTGTGGGCTGCGTTTTGGTGTCCTCCATCCCTCTGGCTTCTACAGTCCTTCCTTCCCCTCCTCCACAGATTCCACAAGACCAGGACAAACAAAAAGATAAAAAGAAATTACATCATATATAACTTCGAAAATTGCTATAAATAATTTAAACATTAACTTCAAGCATATGGAAAACAGCAACTTTTAAATGTATCTGAAAGAATGTATTAGTCCTTTAAAATGTAGGTTTTTTTCTGCAATGAAAAATAACTATATATATCAGTAGCTTAATCCCCAGTGACTGTCTTTTCACACACAAAATACCTTAAAGACATGCATGATGGTTATGATATAAATGAGACTCACCTCTTGTTAGATGCTCTTGCATTTTCCATCCAGTTGCTGGCCTCATCAGAGAAAATATGAGATCCAGAGCTCACCTCCATGATTTCCAGTCTGGAAGTGAGTGGCCATCTCAGACAGTCTGGTCAATTTCAACCACAGTTCACCATCAATGAGCTAAATGCCATTTCCCGTCTTCTCTGAAAAACAAAGAATACAGATATTAGTAATATCTACTTGCTGCTGTGAGAGAATCCTTGTGTGTGCCATGAATATGTGTTGCTCTCATTGGTTCATAAATCAAGCTGAATTGGCCTATATCTAGTAAGAATAAAGCCAGGCTAGAAATCTAAATAGAGATACTGGGAGAAAGAAGGGTAGGGTCAGTGAGAGACTCAAACCATCCACCTGAGAAGCAAGATGCCAGAGGACTAGTAAAGCCTTGGCCACATGGCAATAAATAGACTAATCAAAAGGGATTAATTTAAATGTAAGAGTTAGTAAATAACAAGTCTGAGTTATTGGCCAAGCATTCTGTAATTAATATAAAAATTTGTATGATTATTTGGGACTGGGCAGCCGGGACAAAGGAAAAGGAATAAAAGAAAAGCTCCGTCTTGTTTTACAGCTAGCAGTGTTCGTCACGGGGTTGAGAGAACAGTCATATTTGAAATCAATATTTGATGTAAGTGGCAGCGTCTCCTTGGCATGGGGAGGTTATTCTGGATCACACGGAAGGGCCATGTCTAGCCATCTAAGCAATGGGTTTCTCTATGAGAGGGTTTGTAAGCAGAGAAGTGAGATGGAAAGATGTGTGGGCAAAAGCAGAGCTCAGAATGGTACAGCCTGTGGCTCTGAAGATGGAGAAATGTGTCAGAGCTAAGAATGCTGGGAAAATTCTTCAGACTGAGATAAGGAAGGAATTAGATTTTTCTTATGAATTCCTAAGAGAATAAATCTGAATGACATCTTAATTTAGAAAATCAATAAAGTAACTAAAATACTAATTGTTTGTCTCTAGTCATTATAAGTGGTTGATTTTTTTTTTTAACTTAGTTTGAAGACTTGCATCCAAACCCCTCAATATTTTTTAAGGTCTGGTTTAGGTATAAAGTTCTCTGTTCCTCCCATAAGACATTGTCTTACACTAAAAACAAATATAATATTCTACAGATTTTATACTTCATCAGATATACTTGAATTATATCTGAGTTGATAGGCTAATTCACAGATATACGGCTTGGCATAACTGTTACTTTCCTAATTTTTAAGATAGAGCTATTATTTAAAATATTTAATGTGTTATCTAAGAAAGTGAAGCTGAAGCTAATTTTGAATATTAGTTTTGTTTGTGCAGATAGTTCTCAGGGAACATTTTAAAACTTCTTTGAAATTACATATTCAGTTGTAGAAAAATTAAAAAGTCATAAAAATAAATCCTTGCATAATACAATCAAGACAGTGGATGCTGGGGAGTATAAGATAGTAAATGTGGGTTGTTTTAAAACACAGAATGTGTACTTATTTGTCGTAGAAACAGATTAATCCCCGTCTTCAGTTTGCCTGAGGTATGCGCTGTTATGTATTTGCTCATGAGATGTCTGAGTCAGGGGTGGCTGCAGTCTGTTCAGAGTGTCAAAGAGAAGAGCAAAGAACTCAAGGAATCTCTCCAAGACATTCCAAATTCTCTGGTCCTCTTCATTGAGCCTTGAATCCTCTCCTGCTATCGTGAGAGGACCATGTATCCCAGAACTTCACTATTAAAGTACTATTCTCTTAGTATGACCTGCTTTGGCTTCCAAGAGGGTTTTGAGAAATCACGTAAGACACACAATGTAAGTTCCTCTTTGCAATGCATGATGGAAGCCCTAGGGAAGAGTGGAAAACCACACGCAGAAGGAGAATGCAGTGTGAGACTTGGGGATATATGAACAGGTAAAGGATATGACATCACCAGCAAAGACAAACCCAGGGAAGACACTGGAACCTAGTCACCTCTCTTAGCTTCAGAAACAGTTGATCCTGCAGCCCTGTGGTCGTGGGCTTCTAACGGTCAGGACTGAGAACTCATTGCGACTTCCATGTTGTGTTGGGGATGCTTGGCGGCGGCAGCCCAGAGGCTCATGCAACTCGTTAGTCTTTGTCCCACTGTGGTTTCTTTTAATTTTCAGAACCCATTGAACTGTTTCCTTTTCCAAGCTATGGATGACTTGTGGTAATGGAGTTTCCCTGAGATGGCTTCCTCTGTTGTCTGCAGAAACTACCTATTCATGTTTATAACTTCTCAGAGTAAGAGCATGGGGACTTGTGGGTCTCAGTGTCTCACACTAAATGCTGTTTAAAGTTTGCTTCCTTTATGAAAAGCGAGGTTCTTTCACTTATCTTTCATTGTTGTTAGTAATTTACACCATAGAAACATTTACATCTCTGTTTAACTTTGGGTCATGGTATAGTCCTCAAATTTTCTCCCTCTGATGTCAAAACTAGACATTACACACACTAATTTCTGTGTCATCCTGTCTCCTGTTATAGCATGCAATCACATATGAATTATAATATAATTTTTTTGCCTAGAGATTAGCATAAATATAAATTCCCTGATTAATTCACAATATCAAACCTATTTCAAGCATACTTAATGGGATTTCTTAAAAAATAACGTTGATTCTACTTCAAGAACTATGAAGCCATCAAGCAAGTTAAATTCCTTCTCACATTACCTGTCAGTACATGAAGATAATAAACGAACACAACACTCTGCAGAACATCATCATGACTACAGGGATGTTGTTACAGGCATTTATATTTCTAAATACAACATCACTGAGCAGCATTTTGTATAAAACTAATCCTTATTAGCCAATCAAGAAATGGTTCTTGATTGTGTATATGGGAAGCAAGCATTCTATACATCCCTTTAGAAATTTCATCAATAATTTTCTCAGCCTATTACTCTTTTCTATGAGAATAAATGGCATGTCTCTTTTAAGATTAGATAGCCCTGGAACATATGACTGGTGCACAGTTTTATTGAAGTGTAAATAGTGTTCTGTGTTTTATGTGACAACATCATTTTTCTCTTACTTTGAAATAATATCACAGCAAATGGTTGATAGCACAGTAGAAGTAATCAGATGGAGACATTTTTAGCCCACGTTGAGGCAGTAATTCTCCAGGTGCAAGATAATTCCGAAGAATTGTTTTTACACAAATGCTACTAATTTTCTGCTTATGTAAGTTTATTAGGCCAAGTTGAACTGAATGTGCAAAGCATTATTAGCTTTGCATGAGTCACACGTACCATTAAATGTCATCTAAATATAGCAGGGAAGGAGTGCAGAGTAAAGGAGATTGACATATGCCAATCAAGAGCAGATTGCACAAACACAGGGAAATCACAGTCTTGTGACAAAGCTATTATTGCTCTGAAAAGAGCAGTTTGCCTTCAGAAGTCCAATAATCGGCTTTGATTGTCTTAATTTTATCAATAGCATGATTGATGTTAGAAGATTTGTAACACTGTCAAAGCACCAGTAATCCAAATGGTTAAGCATTTGTTACTATTGACATAATGTAAGATAGAAAGAGACATAACAGAGGCCCAGCTCAGCATGATGCTTCATCGAACTGCCTTTTCTTCTAGGAGGCAAAGAATGCACCCGTGCTCGTGTTGTTAAATGTGGAAATGTTTGACTGGGGTTTTAAAGATCATGTTTATCAGGAATAGGCCAAATATGTACCCTCATGTCTGAGGGAGATAAAGGGGCTGATAACAGAAAAGAATTTGGCTTAAAATCTGTAGGACTGCACCTTGTTTTTATGTTAGTGTCCAAATGACTGGTTTGATCCCCGGGCCAGTCAATATGGTTAAAAAATTAATCATATTAGTATATATTAATGTATGGAGGTGTTGGTTTCAAAATGACTTTTTTTATTTGTTTGTTTGATATTTGAGAAAGGATTTCTCTGGGTAGCCACAGCTTTCCTAGAATTTCTAGACTAGACTGGCTTTGGACTTCCAGAGATCTGTCTGCCTCTGCCTCTGCCTCCAACACCGCTCAGTTATTATGACATTTTAATATAATATATTCCCTGCCCAATAGTGTCACATACCTTTAATCCTAGCACTTGAGAGGCAGAGGCAGGCAGATATCTGGGAGTCCAAGGCCAGCCTGGTCTACTAAGCAAGTTCCAGGACATTCAAGACAACACAGAGAAACCCTGCCTTGACAAAACTATATGATGTATATATCTATATGTGTTCTCCCAAAACTACCCTTTCTTGTCCACTTTCTTTTTCTACTGGCCCCCTTCCTCTTCCTAAAAATTCCCCTTTCTGTCTTTATACCATAAATAAATTGATAAATGATAATAGAAAAATAAATGATCATAAGAACATAGATGGATGGGTTGATGTGTAGAAGATATACAAATCATGGACATACAGAGAGAAAGTTGATAGGTCATAGATTGATGATAGATAAGAGAAAGAGAGAGATTGATAGATAGAAGATAGAGATAAGGAAATAGACAATACATATAAAGAAAAAGTTGTGATAATTGTTTTGCTAGGTGTGGCTTATGCCACTAAACATCATTTTCAGTTAAACACACTTTCTATATAATTTTAATCCGTATAGCTGACCTAAAGCGTTATTTGTCCATTCACCTGCTCATGGCCACCATGGCTAATTCCAGAACTTAGAATAAACAGGCTTTGGGAGGCTAAACTGGGTTCCTTTGGGTATATTGCCAGGACTACATGGAAATTCTCCTTTCAGTTTCCGTCATGGCTGCACCAATCCAGTCTCCCACCAGCAGTGTATAGGCCTTATTTCCCTTTATCTCTATTGGTATTTGTTGTCTGTTTCTTGACAATATCAAGTATGACTGCAAAAGATGGAATTTCTGAGTCTTCATCTTAGAAAGAATGAAAATTAAAAATATTTTTAAATCATTATCTCATTACAATCACCTTGTACAGTAACAGATGATATAACAAACTTAAAAAATGGAAAAAAGGCTCATCACTAAGTATAGTGATAGATGATTCTAATTCCAGCACAAGCAAAGTGGGGACAGAAGGATCAAGAATTCAAGATTATCCATAGTGAGTTCATGGTTACCCTGGGCTACTTGAGACCCTGCTGTCCTTTCCACTGAAGAACAAGGAAAGGGGAAGAATAAAAGAAAGGAAAAG